GGCAACAAAAGCACCACAATGCATCCAGCGTCTACCTCTTAGGCTTCTCCCACACCAGGCCAGCCAAAGCAGGGACATGTCAGAAATCCAGTGTCCACGACCAAAGTTCTCCACTCCTCAAAAGTTCTGAGCATGGACAAAATGCCATAGGCACTGAGGCTTGCTAAGGTGCCCCTGGTTCCTGCCCACCCTGTTCTCAGGCCCAGGGCACAACGCAAGGGAGAGCTGAGATGAGGACTAACTGCAGAGCAGGTTCCAGGGGAAACTTGATAGCCGGGACACAGTTCTTCATCTAACTCTGCCACTGACCTGCGGGGAACCTTGTGGGGCCTCTGTTTTCTCATCTGTAAGGTCGGTACCCTAAGGAAAGAGATGTCCAGACCACAGCACCCCCTAATAAGAGCAAGTGACTGCTGTCCAAGGGTCCTCCTCTAAGTGCTGTCTCTGACACAAATTATCTGTGTTCTCTGTACCACATGAGGTGAGCCCCCCACCCACATGGCCATTTTTCCTTCATGGAGGGAAGGTCAGGCTGCCTTGGCCAACGGCCTCTCAAAGAGTGGTCCTTCCTTCAGGCTGCCCAGCAGTTGCCTTGGAGGGATGGGCAGGGGGAATCTTCCCAAGTTCCAGGCTGGGCAGGATGGGCCATTCCTCACAAGGCCCAGGGCCATCCTGCCCTCACCCTCTACCCCAAACACACAGCCCACCCCAACCCAGGCACCAAACAAAGGCTCCTGGGGGCGTGGCACGGTAGACTAGCAGCTAAAGTCCTCGCCTTGCACGTGCTGAGATCCCATATGGGCACCAGTTCTAATCCCGATGGTCCTGCTTCCCATCTAGCTCCCTGTTAGTGGCCTGGGAAAGCAGTCAAGGATGGCCCAGAGCCTTGGGACCCTGCACCCGCATGGGAGACCAGAAGAGGCTCCAGGTTCCTGGCTTCAGAATGGTACAGCACCAGTAGTTGCAGCCGCTTGGGGAGTGAATCAATGGATGGAAGATCTTTCTGTCTCTCCTCTCTGTAAGTCTGCCTTTCCAATTAAAATTAATGAATAAATGAATAAATCTTTTACATTTTTTTTTCAAATTGAAAAAAAAAAGGCTGCTGGGAGCCAGCTTCAGAGACAGAATCCCACTTTCAGGCTCCACCAGGCCAACAGCCGCCTTGGACAGAGGCTCTGTCTTAGCCACCTGCAGTGCTAAGACACTATTTCACCCACACCTTTAGGCTCACAGAGGGAGACACATGCAGCCCCAGGCCTGGAGGCTCACATAGGGTGCTCTCCATGAAACTCCGTGGACACTTTCACTGCCATCTTGCAGTCTCTAAGCAGCAAAGAGGAGGGGGTCTTCGGTGCCACAGTACATGGTGCCCGGTCCAGAGAGGGCACCTGTGTCACCAGCTCTCACCAAGAGCTTCCTAAAGGCAGGAGGTGCCCACTAAGGGACGTGGCTGCTTTGGGATGCAGTCCCCCACGGGCCTGGAGATTCTTGGGAGGACACTAGCAGGTGGCCAATAGCAAAGTCACTCTGGTCAAAAAGCTTAGTGGATTTGGTAGTGCAGGCCTTCTCAGAGCCTTTACAGGGCCAGCAATCTCCAGGGCAGGATTTGGCACTTCCCAAATGTTATTTGGCTCCTAACACTCACAAAGTAGGGGCCACACTTTCCTGTAACTTCTACCCCCAGGGAAGGGGGAGAAAAATGACTGAAGAGCTCCCTGGAGAGGAGTTGGGAGAGGGCTTGGATGAGGCAGGGGGCTGCACACCCATCTTGAGGGGCCCAAGGGGTGGTGCTGAGAGAAGCAGGAATTCCACTTTCCCAGAGGTGGAATCCCATAGTCCCTGCACTGCTGCGAATTTAAATTCCAAACAAAACTTGGCAGGGAAGACCCCATGCACGCCAACCCCTGTCTCCACACCCCCATCCCACTCCTCAGAGCTGTGTTCCTTGAGTACCTGGAGGGGAGGGAGGGAGGGAGAGAGAGAGAGAGAAAGAGAGAGACCTCAGCCAGTGCCTCAGGAATCTCTGGGCAAAGAGGTACAGCAGCTGCCCCAGATCTAATTCTGAAACTGAGCTTCTAGCTTCCAGATACATCAACCTTGCAAGCAACTGTACAAAGTGCCAAGGCCTGCTTTCAGGTCACCTCCTGGCACTTGCTGTGGCACTTGTACGTGAACTCTAGCACCTCCCTCTTTGTTCCCAGGATTGGCATGCCACTCAGAGCTCTCTGGCTGAGCTTCAACGTTGAGAGCTGAGGTTCCAGGGGGGTACAATGGGCTTCTGTGCCCCCATGTCCTCACTGCTCCTCACCCACCCCCCACCCCTCATCCCAGCTGCATTCATGGGGTTTTGCTATTGTGGTGGGTGCAGGAGGGGGTGGGCTCTTGGCACAGGGGCTGGCGCAGACGGGCCATGGTCAGTGGTCAGCATGCAAGTCACATCCGCAGGCACTGCCACCAGGCCTACCAGGCCTTGCACAGAATGGCGACTGACGCTCCTGGGCCCCTGGGGTTCCCCCTGACCCTGCCATGAAGAGTCCCCTGCAGCCCACAGACGGTTGGGCTTCCTCTCCAACCAGCCCCCTTTGTGGTGTTGAGGTGGGGGTATTTTTCTTGTCTTCTCAGCCAGTTGCTATTTGGAGCCATATTAGGTCAATGGCTAAGCCCTTGGGCGCAGGAAAGGCCCGTCCCCAGGAGCACAGCTGGGGCTCTGAGAGGGTTTAGGATGGGTGGGTGGAGAGGGGTGAGGGAATGAGCATAAATGAGACACAGCCTTCCAGAAGTCAGCAGGCACGACTCTCGAGCTCCTGGCCTGTGCATATCAGAGCAGCTCCTTTGTCTTCCCAAGCCCACCCCCACCTCTGATCCCTGGCTTGTCTGCAGGCACACTCCCAACACATTTCCCTGAGATGGCAGGAATAGAGTTTAGATGGGTAAACTGAGGTTCAAACAGGGACCAGCAACTCCCCAAAGTCAGGCCTGTAGGTATTTTCCCACCTTGTCCTAGGGACTGACTTCTCTACTTCTCCCACACTGCACCTTTTTGTGGGGAAACTGAGGCAGGCCACAACAGAGCCACAGGAGGTGAGGCTTCCTGAGTCCCAGCTAGAATCCTGGACACCAGGAACATCCAATGAGAGCACAATATCCTATGCCCACAGGGGCCTCATTAGGGCCCATGCGCCTCAGGCCCAGCCAGGACACACACACACACACACACACACACACACACACACACAGGTGGGAGCAGAGAGACACTTGCAGGGGCTCAGAGAGTCATGATTGTCTCCTGCCTGGATGAGGGGCTCCCACAGTTGCCCTCCTCCTAGTCACCCACACCTTCCCTACCAAACTGCCTAGTCTGTCTTCCTTTCCACAGCCCCACTGCCTGCCTGCCCCCACTGCCTGTCTGCTATGGGCCGTGCCTCCCCCAGGGCGTGCACAGAACTCAACAAATGTTTGCTGAGAGAATAAACAACTGAGACAAACCAGATACCCAAGCAACTCCCCACATGGGGAGGGGTCGGGAGAGGGGAGAGCCTCCCAAGCAACAGTCACCTGCAGCAAGCTCCTTGGAAAGGCGGCAAAAATCTCTTACAAGAAACAAAGTTGCCAGGCCAGGAAACAGAGAGAGAGAGAGAGAGAGAGAGAGAGAGAGCCCTTCACTCTTTACAAAGAGCTCTGACACACACAGGCCTGGCACCCAAGCTGCCTCTCCAGACTCATCCTCCCTCCACTCCACCCACTTCTACCAGCACGGGTCAACAGGTCAGCCCTGGAAGTAAGGTCCTGAGCTAGCATGTCCCATGCTCATATCCAACCCCCCACCCCAGGAAACAGGGGCCAAGCAGATGCCATCTATGAGCCCTCTGCCTCCCACTCTCATCTACTGTGCACCCTGGCAGCCGTAGGGCTCCTCCCGCCACCCAGTCAGAACTCACAGTCCTCATGTGTCCAGGCCAGCGGCCTCCACCCCTGTACTTTCACAGGGAGAGCTGCCCACCACAAGTGGAGACAGTGAGGGCCAAGGCTGGGTGTTTGTTATTCCCAAATCAGACAGGAGAAAGTGCCAGCCCATGAGGAGGAGGCAGCAGCAAGAGGAGGGCACCTGGGCAAGGTCTGGATAAGACCCCTCAGGGACAGAGTTGGGAGGTCAGCCATCTGTGTATTTATCTAGCTGGGAAGAAGGCCGTGAGCAGCCACTTTGTAACCGAATCCACCAAAGGGCCAGACTTTGCAACACAAGCGGTGCAGGTTTCTTAGGCAGGAGGCAGCTGGGGCAGCTGGAACCTCTCCCCTCTATCTTGCTTGTCCCCCTCCCAAGAGCTCAAGAGGATTTCCCTTTCATTTCCTTCCAGGCTAGGAGGGCAGGGGACAGCCCAGTCTGCTGGGTCAAGCCCCCCAGAAACCACTTCCTATGTTGGCTGGGGGAGGGCCAGCAACTGGAGGATATATCTGGGGTCCCAGGGTGGGAAGTGCAGGCACCATGCCCAGTCACTGTTCTCCGAGGACCTGAGGACCACCGAGGTTGGAGGAGAAAAGAATGGAGGCCATCCTTGCTCCTCCCTCCATGGAATCAGCCAGGAGGGGACAGGGCTGGGCGTGGGAAGGACGCTGGGAAGGGGAGCTCCCCGCCCTGGCCGCACCCGGCTGTTTGGAGAGACTCCGGAGACACTCGCCCACAACCCTCCTTCCCAACCCTCCGACACCGCGCCCTCAGCCCCCCTACGATCAGAACGCGTCGGGCCAAGAGGGCCCTGCCCGAGGTCTGAACTACTCCGGGTCGGGCTCAGCTCGGCCAGGAGGTGACGCGCTCCCGGCGCCCCGAGGACCTCGGCGGCGTTTGGCAAAGCTGAACGGAGCCAAGCCCAGCCGGGCCAGGCCTGGCAATGCGAAGTCGGCAGGGGACCGGGCCAGGAAGAACCGGGAAGCTAGAATGTGGCCCAGAGCAGCTAGATGCGGGACCAGAGGAGTGGTGGAGTTGGGGCGCGCAGGGCACCCACCTCTCCGCGCTGCAGCTGGAAGAAGCTGTTGAGATAGCTGGAGTGCAGGGGCGAGCCCAGCTGCTCCGGGCGACCCTTGCCGAAGGCCAGCTCCGGGGGTGCGGCGCCGGCGGGAGGCTCGGGCCGGAAGGCATCGAAGGCACTGGCTTGGTGCGTGTCCTGCAGCGACAGGTAGACCCAGTTGAGCAGCTGGGCCGGCTGGTACACCGAGGCGGTGCTTGTGTCGATGGCCGACAGCAGGCTCATTTTGCTGCGGCGGGGCCGGCCCCTCCCCGGCCGCCCGCTCGCGCCCCCCGCCCTCCAGCGGAGGGGCGGGCACCGGGGAGCCTGCGCCCACTGCCAGCCGCCGGGGGCCCGACGGCGATCGCCCTGCGCCCCGCCGCTGCCCGCCGCCGCCGCCGCCGCCTCCCCCCGACTGCAGCCGGGCGCGCGCGGGCGGAGGAAGGAGGCAGCGAAAGTTGGGCAGGAAACTTTGGGCCCCGCCCCGCCGCGCCGCCCGCCTCGTCCCGCCCCGCGATCCGCTATCTGCCTCGGCGCTGACCCCTTCGGTGGCCGCCCCGGGGGCGGGGTCCACGGAGGTCCCGCCCTGCCCGGCTCCCCGTCCTCCACCTCCATTGGCTGTTCCATGGAAGGGGGCTGGTCGGTGGGGGGAGAGCGGTGCTCATCTGCATGTGTACTGGGCGGTGTGGCCACGCCCGTGGGCGGTCCCCTCGCCAGCCCTGCTTCGCTCCCCGCCCGGTGCACCCGGACCCCCAGAGCTTGCGGCGAGCTCGGTACCTTTCAGGCCCCATCAATCTCGCCTCGCTCGCTTCGCCTGCCCTCCTTCCCCACGACCTCCTCGGCCCCTCTCTAGAGCTGGCGTCTCCGGGCGCTCCCGTCTTTCTTTCTGTCCCGCCGACCGAATCTGCGTTTTCGCCCGCGACCCTCGTAGGCACTCGCGCGTCCCGCTCCCTCCCCTCGCTATCTCCCTAGGACCCTCCCCCTCCCACTAATTCCTTCCAGCTGCAGAATCGCTTCGCGGCCCGGCTGCGCCCAGGGGGGCCGGGTTCCTGTCCCGGGAAGGACACCCGCCCCCTTCCCTCCACCCCCTCTCCCTTCTCCTATTTCTCCTGAGGGCCCCGCCTCGCTTCTCGCCCCTCTTCCCCTGGCTCCGACCCCAGCCCCAGCCCTTCTCCAGTGCAGTTGGAACCCCATTCCCAAGCCAGGGTACCCGGGAGAGGCGGCTGTCACCCAACAACTCGGAAACAACCCGGCTAGGTAGGTTAGATCAGCGTGGGGGAGCCCTGGCCCGAGAGCCCCGCTAACAGCGGGGAGCTAAGCATGGTCTCCGAGAGAACTGAGCAGCAGGGCCCGGTGGCGCGGTGCCTACCCAAGCAGCATTGACTACCGGGCAGGGACACCAGGTTCGCCTCTCCCACCAACTCCAGCTTGCCCCATCCCCCAAGCCACCTGCCCCTTGGGTTCGAAGTTCCAGACCCGCCACTTTTGCAGCCGAGTGATCTCTGAGTGGCTCTCGCCTCTGCGGGGAAGGCCACTTCCCGCTGTGGGAGAGAAGCTTACCTGTGGTCCTGTCCCCGAGGTGTTTGAGGGCTGGTCCAGGTGCTTTAAGAAGCTCTGGACTCTGAGCTTGCGAGGCCAGGCATCTAAGCACATCAGGGAGCTCCTGAACCAGAAGAGCCCTCTTAGAGGACCAGGTGCTGCCCGTTCCCACTGGCCTAGTGCCCTTCCCATCTCCATGTTACCTGAGAAAACAATTTGCAATAGTCAATACAAAGTTTATACCGACCATAAAAATATCTGTATGCATTGAGGGCACAACTGTATCATAGGAGTACCTTTTATGCTTTTTAAAAAAATATATTTATTTAATATTTATCTATTTATGTTGAAAAATTCAGATTTATAGTGAGAAGGAGAGAGAGAAAGAAAGATTATCTGTCCACTGGTTCACTCCCAAAGTGGCCACAATAGCTACAGCTGAGCCAATCCAAAGCCAGGAACTTCTTCCAGGTCTCCCATGTGGGTGCAGGGTGCCAAAAGCTTGGGCCATCTCATCTGCTTTCCCAGGCCACAAGCAGGGAGCTGGATGGGAAGTGGAGCAGCTGGGACATGAACACTGATGCCCATATGGGATCACAGCACATGCAAGACATGGATTTAACCTCTCGGCTATCACACTGGACCCTATGCTTTTTTTTTTCTTTAAGATTTATTTATTTCATATTTGAAAGGCAGATGTGGAGAGAGAGAAGAATCTTCTATCCTCTGGTTATTCCTCAAATGGCTGCAATTTCTGGAGCAGGGCTGGGCTAGACTCTGAAGCCAGGAGCCTGAAGCTTTATCTAGGTCTCTCATGTTGGATGCAGAGGCCCAAGAGTTTGGGTCATCAGCTCCCTTCCCAGGCACACTAGCAGGGAACTGGATCAGAAGGTGGAGCAGACAGAACTTGAATTAGTGTCCCTATGGGATGTCATCATCACAGTCAGAGGCTTAAGTCCCCAGTATCCTCTATGGTTTTAAGCAGTGTTAAACCAATCTGCTTCAAGAGAAGGGAGTTGTCTGTTGAGAATAAATGTGTCATAACTGAACTGTGAGAGGCTGAGAGACCCACAGAGAACAATGGAGCCAGGGACAGAACACACTCGAAGCTTCTGATTCAAGTTCCCCCATGCCAGGGTCAGAGTGAACTTAGGAGCCAGCAACCCAATCCAGATCCCCCACACGGGCAGCAGAGACAACCACCTGAGCTGTCAGTGCTGCCACTCAAGGCGCACCCTGTTAGGGAGCTGGAGTTAGAGACCAAACCAAGCAGGCAATCCTGATTTCCTAACCACCAGGCTCAACACCTGCCCATGGCAAAACCCAGACTTCATGTGTGCCAGGCTGCCGCTGGCCTTGAGCTTCCAAAGGACAGGCTGGACTGAGACCTTCCCTGGATCTCAAAGCTCAAAGCTGCTGAACAGAGAGCGATATCTTCCACTCACAAGTACACAGCTGGGCTGCCCAGAGGAGGCTTAGCACAGTCAGTTGCAGCCCAGAGCTTCCTGTCTCTGCTCCCACTCACCTTCCAGATGAAGGTAACCTCATGCTGTTGCAGTGCCGACATTTGCCCCCTAGTGTGGGTTTCAAAAGCAAATAGGACACTGGGTTAATGTAATCACTAGATGGCAAGGTCGAGCCCAGAACCAAGAACTTTTACGGGTCTCAGCTGCAGACAAAGGGTCTGATACCTGCTTAGGTCCTGCCCAGACCTTCAGAGTAATTTGATGCTGTGAGGGTGTGTGTCGTCACTGGTGACCCCGTAGATGACCTCTGCCACTCATGCCCATACCCGCGTAGTTCCTACATCTCACTTGTAGATAGATAGTAGATGATCAGGACTAGCTGCTGGTCAGTGAATGGTTGGGGAGATGGAAGGACAAGTGGGCAGATTACATTCCCCTTGGAAGTCTATATATTAACCTTAGAAATCTAAATGGGTTTGTTTGTTTAGTTTGTACTTTTCCCCTCTGCTTGCTTGCAGCACACCTGATCCATACATGGACTCTGTACTCATAAGGTGATCAATAAATGTGAACAGCTGATAGGCAGTTTGGATAGCAGCTCAATGACCTGAAGTCACCCTTCAGCAGGCCACTGGGGGTGTGGGTACCAAAAGACTCTGAGATAACACCTGTTATGAGATAGGCACAGGGGAATTATTGGTGTGGGTGACCAGACGGATATCAGGCCAGAAGCTTAGGTCAGGCCTAATTTTGTGCTCCCTCCTCTGATGTGTACACATAAGAAAGCTTGCACTTAAAACATGAGACATGCTAGCCCAGGCCCTCACTTCAAAGACAGGAGGCCCCATGGCCCAGGAAAAGGAGGAACAAAGATTTGCTGGGGTCACTATGGAAGCCAGATAGGGATGCCACCTGCTTTTGATCTACCACCATGCCCTTCCTTGGCCAATCTGCCAGTCTCTTGGTGAGGCAACTCTAGCCACGTGTAGTATTCTCAGAACAGCATATAAGACATGGCCCTGTCCCTTCCCTGTCTGGTGACTCCAGCAACCCCATGATCTCCAATATAGGATAATGGAGAAAAGAAATTTGGCCAAGTCTGGGCCCTCTCTGTCAACTTCAGATTTCCCAGTGATCAAACAGGAATGGTGATTCCATCCTCAGGAGCCTCTGTGATAGTGACTTAGCAAGGTCAGGTCAGGATAGGGAGGAAGGTGGTTTCCTGGCCATCAATAAGCAGCTTTGCATGCGTGTGTGTGTATGTAGGGGGCAGGGTGGTAGAAGTGGCCTTGATCATTTTAATCATACTCCATAACGGGCAGCACTGAGCCCAGAGAAGCAGCAGGGCTGTGTGACGGAATGAAGGTGCAGATGGAATTGCCACTCCACTCACCTCTTAGCCTTCCCTTCCTACTTAGAAGCTTTCCTTGGCTGGATAAACATTCAAACATCCAAAAGTTGTAATATTCAAAGTCTTTGTGGCCCTTCCCCCAACCCCTGGCCTCACCATCTAATAAACTGACCTTTCCTTACACCTGCAAGGCCTTCTGGCCTCCGTGCCTTTGCACATGTTGTTTCCACTACCAGGAAGAGCCTCCTCTTTCAGTCTTTCTGTAAGTGTTTTCTCACCCTCTAAGGCTCAGATGCAACAATTACTTTCTCCAAGAAGACTTCGTGCACAAACTCCACTGCCCTCCCACCCCCATCAGCCCTCTAAACCCTTGTTTATGCTTGACCACAGGCTGTGTGTCTGGTACTAGGACATTTGTGTCCTCCCATTCTGCCTGGCACCATCCCTAAGCTCCCCTGGAGCTGTCTAACCCAGCCTCGGATCAGATCAAGGCCCCCTATTTACTTAAGGAATGAATAGATAAACTCAGAATGCTCTTGTGGTTTGCAGACACAGATGCGGGAGACTATTGTAATGATCTGGAACATTCCAAGATTGCAGGGGCTGCAGCAGAGACAATGAGCCTCATGGAGCACCCATGGCCTCCTGTCATGGTTTGAATGTGTTCCCCCCAAACTTCAGGGATAGGACACTTAGCTCACAATACATCTGTGCTCAGAGGTAGGTAGATTAAGAGACAAAGAAAGGAGTTGAGTCCTTGTCTCAGGAGTAGATTACTTTTTTAAGATTTATTTTTATTGCAAAGTCAAATCAAAGAGAGAAGGAGAGACAGAAAGATCCTCCATCTGCTGGTTCACTCCCAAAGTGACCACAATGGCCGCAGCTGAGCCAATTCACAGCTAGGAACCAAAGCCAGAAGCTTCTTGTGGATCTCCCAAGCAGGCACATGGCTCCAAGGCTTTGGGCCATCCTCAACT